CTGCGCCTCCTCTGAGTGTCCGTATGCGTTACTCTTTCCTCCTAGTTGTAGGACTTCCACTAAGCCAGCGTTCCTGTGGGTCTGGGTGATGTCCGTTCCGTCTTTTAGTTTCACTTTTGAAGTGGTTGTTCGAGGCAGCAAACTCCGGCGTTAACCTATGCCGCCATCTTGGTTCTCGCTATCTTAGTATTAACAGGAGGCTGTTATAGGACTTGTTGGTCTCAGAGGCATGATTCCCCCTGTTAATTTTTTGTTGTGTTTTTTTGGTTTGTTTGTTTTGTTTTTGTTAATCTTCACCCGAGGATATTTTTCCATTGATTCTTAGAGAGAGAGGGAGGGAGGTGGGGAGAGAGAGACATTCATGTATTGCCACATCGATTGGTTGCCTCCTAAACAGATTGAGCCTGCAACCCAGCTTGACTGAGAATTGAACCAATGACATGTGGGCCGATGCTTTAACCACTTAGAAACACCCCCAAGGGCTGTTTTGTTTTTTTCTTTTTTCAAAAATGTTTTTATTGATTTTTAGAGAGAGAGGAAGGCCAAAGGCTAGAGATAGAAACATTGATGGGAGAGAAACATCGGTTGGCTGCATCCAGCATGCTTCCTACTGGGGATCGAGCCTGCAACCCAGGCATGTGCCCTGAGTGGGAATTGAACCAGTGACCTCTTGGATCATGGGTTGACCCTCAACCATTGAGCCACACCAACTGGGCTTTAAAATTTTTTTTTTATCTTCACCCGAGGATATGTTTTTATTGATTTTTAGAGATTTTTAGAACTATAAGAAGGGATGGAGGTAGTAAGGGAGGGAGGAGGGAGGGACGGAGGGAGAGAGAGAGAGAGAGAGAGGGAGAGAAAGAAACATCAATGTGAGAGAGAAACACCAATTAGTTGCATCCCATATACGTTCTTACTGGGGATCAAACCTGCAACCCAGGTATGTGCCCTGACTGGGAATCGAACCGTAACCTTTTGGTGTACAGGATGATGCTCCAACCAACTGACCCACCCAGCCAGGGCTCCCCTGTTCATTTTGAGATCTGTAAAGTCTGAACAAACTTCTAGGAAAAACTAGCCCTTATGTGGATGAGTCAAATGCAGGGAATATCCCTATAGGGACTACTTTACACCCTAGAGGAAATTTTTCTCAGGCAACCCCACAAAGTTTATTAGTCGCCTAAGAATACTCAAGCAAGAGCCAGAGAGAGGTTAACAGATGCTTTCCAAGGCACAGGCCCTTCTCTATCCCTTTTCTTGAGGTGAAATTGCAGGACACCCTGCCCTTCTTCCCAGGCTTCTCTGGGGTCAACTACACTACTGCACTAGGCGACTCCCGGCGTCCATCTCTGCCACTCTGGTTTCAGGGTCTGAACAACTGTCATCACCCCAATGGCTATTTGGGTTGGGGAAGCAAGTGTCCTTTCTCTTTTGGAGCTAAAGAGAGTTCAGTCTCTCATTTAACCAGGGAAGCTTTTGTTCACACCCTCAGTAAGCAATCTACCTAAAAAGCTGAGAGTAAAAAGCAGCACCCCATTTTCCCCTCTTACTTTAGTTATCTCAACCTTTACCACATTGAGGGTTTTCTAAGAACAGTTCAAATAAAGTGATAGCCTGCTACTTGAAGCAAGGAGGCCCGGAATTCTGAGAGAAACTCACCCAAGTTCATCCGATACCAAATGGGGAGCTGGTGGGGCACACTGGGCCCTTGCTTGTACCTTGCTTTGCACCAGGTCCAAATCTTCAGGTGCTCCTGGGTGGGCTTCTTTGGAATCCTGCTGACTATGTCAAGTAAATATTGATGAAAAGAAAACATCTAAATCTGTAGAGAATTTTTATAAGAGTTCATTTGAACCAAACTGACAAATATGCTGGAGAACCAGATCCCAATTCCTCCTCAACTTTTTAAAAAGTCATCAGTGAAAATGATCACTTAATGTCTAAGAGAGTTTTTTAAGACAAGAAATTGTTCTTGTATACTTAAATTGAGCATCTACTATATCATTAAACTAAAATGATACTGTTCTGGATCAGTAAAGTAAATTGAATCTATATTGTATTATTTTGTCCATTGAAGTTATTAGTTCTTTTTTATTTTATTTTTATTATTCTTTTTTAAACTTCACCCAAGGATATGTTTATTGATTTCAGAAGGAGGGAGGGAGGGAGAGAGAGAGAGCAACTTCAATTTGAGAGAGAAATATCAATTGCTTGCCTTCCCGAACTCACTCCCACTAGGGATTGAACCCACAACCTAGGTATGAGCCCTGACTGGAATTGAACCTGCAACCTTTTTTTGGTGTACAGGACGACGCTCCAACCAACTGAGCCACCTGGCCAGGGCTGGAGTTGCTAGTTCTTTTGAAAGGAGAGCAAGTATTCAAAATGTGCAGCATTCCCCACTTAGCTAATGCTCTGTTCCAAGTGCAAAGGTAGTTTCCATCAATCATACTTATGTGTGTACTTAGAAGGTGGGGAGAGGCCATAAAGGAGTCACTTTGTTTCACAGCCCCTTTATTATTTCCTTGTATAATATATAATATATAATATCCTATATAATAAAAGGCCAATATGCAAATTGACCAAATGGCAAAACGACCGGTCGCTATGATGTGCACTGACCACCAGGGGGCAGACGCTTAACCCAGGAGCTGCCCCCTGGTGGTCAGTGCGCTCCCATGGGGGAGCGCCGCTCAGCTAGAATCTGTGCTCACGGCTGACGAGTGCAGCAGTGGTGTTTGGAGCCTCTCCTGTCTCCATGACCTCGCTAAGGATGTCTGACTGATGGCTTAGGCCTGCTTCCTGCAGAGATTTGGGGGAGTGGGCCTATGCCGCCTGTTGGACATCCCTGAGGGCTCCAGACTGTGAGAGGGTGCAGGCCAGGCTGAGGGATGCCCCCTGGCCCCCAAGTGCGTGAATTTTGTGCACCAGGCCTCTAGTGTAGTATAATTTCATTGAAATATTTTCAAGGTAGGACTCTATTTTGAGGAGGAGCAATCAGCCTTGCTCTTGTTTTGTAGAGGCTCTTTTCTGAAGTGAGAGCTATGATTATTCACTCTTTGGGTCAGGGCTTTGAGAATTAAGGCTGAATCACAGACTCTTGTGGATGGGTCCTGAGAGGACAAAAGGAGATGCAGAGACTTTCAGGGTAAAGGTAGCCAGTGCTCTGTTGGTGGCAGGATAATCCAAAATGGCAAGCCCAATCATTGTACATTTGGAGGCTCCTTTTGTACTTTTGTATAAATATGAGTATTTCTGATGTTCTGGATTTTGAAACCACTTTGATCAAATAGTGAACGCTGCATTACTGAAGAGAAGCTAGAAAGGCATGGGAGGACGGAATTGTGCTCACACTTTGAACTTTTTATTTTACTTCCTGCTCTGTGCTGGTGTTCTCTTCTGCTTTCGCACCAAGTTAAAATACGTTTGACTTCTCCTTCTGTGTTGCTTTACAACCTTCTGTCAGATTTACTTTCTAGAATATGCTAAGTAGAGCTGGTAACAGTGTTAGTAACAGTTTGCAGCAAGGTTTTTCCAGATAATTCTAATCTGTATAATATGGGGAGAATTCATTGCACAACAAAGGAGTGTTGGTGCCATAAAGTTATGCTAAGAGTAAAAAAGGTTAGGGCTCATAAACTTAGGTTAATATTTATTAATAACATATGTATTTTATATGTGTATATTTTTATTTATCTGATAACATACATTTTCTGTCTTATTTAGACTCAGATTGATGGACAACTTTTTTTAATAAAGCATCTGTTGATTCTTCGTGAACAAATTGCTCCATTTCACACTGAATTCACCATTAAGGAAATTTCCCTGGACCTCAAGAAAACTAGAGGTACTTTATTGTCCTGGCTGGCACAGTTGGGTGTGTTCGACCTGTCCAAATGTATCAGCACAGGGTATAGGTTTATTTTATGTTCATCTGCAATTTTTTTGCATGCTGTGCTTGCTAAGCATGTCACTTGTTTATACTGAACTGAGCATCCTAATTACATCTAACTTGCTGTATTTCCTTTATGAAGGGAACTATATCTGAGCATTTCAGTTTGTAATATATCATTACCTCTCTTAGACTCTGCCACGTACTACCATAACCAGTTAAAAAATGAAAGATCAGTATAACAGCTACCTACAGTGTCAGCTAATTGGGATGGCTTTAAACATTGAGTTTGTCAGTCCATTAACATTCCCTGGGTAAAGGAAAGAATATTTATCTGAGTCTGAAAAAGTCGGGTTCTGTTTCTGGCTCAATATTTCCTGGCTCTTGCGTGATCTTGAATAGGTGTCTTAGCTTTCCTATGCCAGGTAAAATGAGCATACTCAACGTATCATGATACCTTTACCAGGTTATCAAATCAATTAAGATCATTAAGAATGAAAATATATGTAAACTGATGGTGTTTAATGTAAGTGGTGTTATTGTTAAATCAGTTGGTTGTTAAGTAATGTAGATAGGATCTTGAGTTGGTAATATAGGATCATTTTGGGAAAGATGCCTCATCTATCCTAATCATTTGTCTCTGAATTAATAAGTGATGATTTCTAAAAGATCAAAGTAGTTATTTTTTAAGATGTTGACTTTAAGCAGTGAAGAGTATACCACACATATCCTTCATTTTTCTTAATTACTTACAAAATTATCTAAACGTTATCTTTTCTTAATCATTTTCAAGAGAATTCAGCTCTAATAACTTAAGCCATTCATTTATGTGATGAATGAACTTCCCTCTTATGTCTTGGGGGAATTGAGAAAATTCAGTCACTCAAATTATTTTCTGTATTCTGTGATTCAGTGGAACTCCAAATATAGGATTTCCAAGGGTAGTAGTAGGTCGTTCCCTAATGACTGTGTCTATAAATTAGTAGACTTTATTTAACTCACCTGAGAACCAACGTGGTCTCATCATGAGTCATATTAAAACAGTTTGTTCTTATTTTTTCTTAATGCTCTTGTCTTTCCACCACAAAGAATGCTCTTTGGTTCTGTTGGAATTTGGATAGTAAACTTGTGTGTTATTCATATACTTGGTGATTTTTTTTTTTTTAAACAGCAGCCCAATTTTCTGGCTTTTATCCTCAGAGAATGCATAGTTTTTCTAGAGCTTATTCTCATCAGAAGCTTCTGTCTCTCAACCATTCTAGTGGATTTTCTTCTTTCTTTTCAGTGTGAGATGTGGGAATAGTGCTCTTAACCTTGAAGAATGCCAGGCACTGAGAGTCCTGACTTTATTGTAGTGGTGGGCTGATCTACTTTCTTTCACTTTTTAAAGTTCATAATTTGTTGCTGCTGGGTTCTAGTATAGATCCACTGA